AAAAAAAAAAAAAGAAGCCCATTGGAAAAACAAATCACCCTTAACACTTGATGAGTCAAATTGTAAAGCACAGGTACAGTGAGAATCTATCTTCTGGCTTGTGTCTCTCCTTACTCATCTAATGCTTTTAATTCTATGACAGCCCTCAAAGACCAGCTGAGTTAAGGAAATAAAATTTATCTTAAAAAACATTTTCTACCTTAATAGTGTCATAATTGTTCATCAATCTTAAAGGTCAACTCCAAATGGAGAATATAAGAAAAAGAGTAGATTCTCCCTATAAACTGAGAAATCAAAACCTCATAGGTGACACAACTATTTCAAGTCCACAAACTAAAAGTTATACAAATGTATGAATTTCTACTTTATAAAAGAAACCATTAGATACATATTCAGAATACACTGTAACATTTAGCTTAATGTTCTTATTTGTTTATTTAATTTAAAATATACTTATATAGTATCCATATATAGCAGCCCTATTTTTCATTTATAAAACAAGAAAAATTTGATAGGGGCAATGCTGGGGATTGAACACAGGGCCTTGCACATGCTAGGCAAATGTTCTACCAATGAGCCACAACCCCAGAATTCATTCAATTCTTCAATGCTGCTGTACTCTTCTTAGAAAAGCATGAGTTTCTTACCTACTATAAACACAGTATAATGTCTACAGAAATAAGTGATGTCAACTTAAAGGCCTCTTCTATGCTTCTGTACAGTGTTATAAGTAAAACACTATTTAGCTAGGTTGACTATTCACTCGATGTGATTAGAATTGCTTGAAAAGTGCTTTTCTTACTGGGTTAACTGTATTCTGCTTCCAAAGGTGCAGTGCTCCGTGGAAAGCATGAGCAATAATCATAGAACCATCTTCATTGAACTGGCAATCATAAAATCCCAGAGTATTTCCACCTACTTCACCTACTCGAACCTACACAATAACAGAAAAGAATTTTCACTTAATAGTCCCATTTCTTTTTAAGATTAAAAAGTTTTCTTAGAAGTAAAGATAGTAAATAACACTAATTAAAGTTTCAAGTCACATAGAAAATATAACAATTCTAATTTAGACATAGCTAATACCATTGCCTCACTGACAGAACTATAAGGAGAAATAAGTAAAATCTGCTATTGGATTATGAGATATTTTTACATGCTCTCTGTGTAATTGATAGATCCATCAGAAAATCAGACAAATCAATAAGGAAATAGAATTGAGCACAGCAATTAACAAGTTATATCTACATAATAAATATGAACTACTATTCCCTGCAGAATATATATTCTCAAGTATAATAGG